TGTTTTTCAAACGAGACTCAAAACTCTAGCACTTTCAAATAGTTGACTATTCTTCTAAAGGAGAATAAAGGAAGTTATAATTATAGGTGATTCTTTGACAAAACATATGGATAGGATAGTCTGTGCGGTAAATAGGGAGAAACTAATTATGCTACCCATGGGCAAAAGAAAAGGACATAATTGACAGAGCAAAAGATATAATAAAAGGGACTAGCAATGATGCAGATTTTGTTGTGCACGTAGGGGCTAATGATGCAGGAGAAGGTAGGTCAGAGGAGCTAATTAATAAGTACAAGGGGTTGATAAAGGCATTTAAAGAAAATGGCCATAACTTAATTGTGTCTGTGATACTGCCAATAATTAAATGTCAAGATGAAATTTTGAGTAGGTCACTAATGTTAGGCTTAGGCTAATTTGTAAAGATGAGCAGATAGGCTGGTTGGACTTGTGGGATCAGTTCAATGGGAGATGAGAGCTTTTTCCAATGGATGGCTTATATTTAAATAGGGTAGGATCTGGCTTGTTTGCAAAGGCTATTAACCAAATTGTACAGTGGTGAGGGCCAGGATAAACTAAATGCAAACAAAAATAAGATGTAAAGAAAAGTTTAACATAGGAAATAAGTATAGAAGTAGCTCTAAGGATAGGCTTAATTATTACAACTGTAATGCTAAAAGTATAAGAAATAAATATATAACTTTAGGGCACTGGTAGGAATGGAGTATTTTGATATAATGGGAATAACTGAAACTTGGTTAAATTTAGATTATTTTAATGACAGAAATTTCCTTGAAATACAGGGTTATAGGTTATTTAATAGGAATATAATACTAAAGAGAGGGAGAGGAGTGGCTTTATATGTAAAATGTGAGTTACATCCTGTTGAAGTTGAAGATATCAAAGATAAAAGCAAGGAGGTTGAATTCATTTGAGTTTCTATTAGCAGATATAAAGGGAAAAGGCTTTTGTTACAGACCACCAAATAATACTGATGAATTTAGTGAGAACCTTTACAGTGAAATTAAGATTTCAGCTGTTAATAAGGTCTAAATTATGGGTGATTTTAATTTCAGGCATATAGATTGGAAAATGCTAGTGTCAAACCATGAGAGAGAAAGGTTTTTCGAAACTGTTCAAGATAGTTTTCTTCACCAGTTGGTCAAGGAACTAACTAGAAACAATGCTGTTTTAGATTTATTGTTAATTTCTAACATATAAATTGTTGAGAGGATGGAAATTGGAGAACGTCTGGGTGCAAGTCATTATTACTCTATTAGGTTTGATGTTTTGCTGCATATGGAGATCAGAGATAATGATATTTTGGTTACAAATTCCATAAAAGCAATTTTTGAAGGGATTTAGCAAAAATTATTTGCTATGAATTGGGTGGCTGAGTTATTTCATTACAGTAATCAAATGTCAAAAATTTTTTAAGATAGATTCAAGATAAGCATATTCTTGATAGAAAGAAAAGGGGTGGCTGCAAGTAAAAAAACCAGGTTGGCTCACAAAGGGTATAAGAAATATAATTTAAGAAAAGCATCACAAATTTACAAAATTTAAATTGACTGGTATGACAGGAGATTCAGAAGATCAAGAATATTGGTCAAACAGGAAATTATGACATCAAATAGGATTTAGGAAAAAAGATTGGTTGAAAATGTTATAATTAACAGTAAGGGTTTCTTTAAGTACATTCAGGGTAAACAAATGTTAGGAAGAGGGTAGGACCTTTGAGGGATGATAAAGGAAGGCTTGTATCTGATGATTAT